TCCCCACTTTCCCAGCTCCCCACGCTCCCAGCTCCCCACGTTCCCAGCTCCCCACGTTCCCAGCTCCCCACGTTCCCAGCTCCCCACGTGGCTCCCAGCACAGAGCTTTCCCTGCCTGGCTCCTGGCTCTCCTGGCTGTCCCAGAGCCCAGAGGGACGGCTGTCCCAGCCAGCCTTACCTGATGTCCTCGTCGTTGGCGAAGATGACGATGGCCCTGGCGTTGGGCGTCTCCAGCAGCTGCCGGATGATTTTATCGAAGTCGATGCTCTTGTCCTTGCGGTCCTGGGGGATCTTCAGGGACTGGGCAATGCAGAGCCCACCTGTGCCAGAGAGCAGAGGACAAAGGGACCTTCAGAGGAGGACAGGGAAATGTCAGGGGAGAGCACAGCAAAGAGCATCGGCACAGTCACAGGTGCCTACAGCCAGACCAGAACTGCCCACTTTAACCACAGTTCCCCTATTACACTTGTCTAGTTTGTTTTAGAAAAAATACAATTTAAAAAAATCCCATCCCCACTGATGGGATTCTGTTTGTTGCTGGCAGATGAAAACACAACTTTTGCCTTAATTATTTTGTTTCTCAGTAGTAAACACTTTCATCTTCCACGGCATCTTTGATACCAACCTGCTCACCATAGTGCACAGTGCGTTAATTAATAACGGATCAGAGCTCTTAATAAAACCAGCAGTGGGGATGAGTTAATTAAAAGGCAGCAGGACAAGGGAGAGATTCACAGACAGGCTTTAAAACTCAGATTTAAAAGTCCTGGTAACTGAAGCACTGGAGAAGGTGTTGGAGGGTGAAGAACCTGGAGGAGGAAGCTCAAGCCCCAGAGCGTCCTCCTCATCCCAGGGCAAAGCAAACCCGGAGAGAAGCGTGGGACAGCTGGGAAAAGCAAACTCCTGCTTGGAAATGGTGAAATGCAGATCTTGTGCCCACCCCTGAGACCCTCACAAAGCAGGTCAGCCTTGTTCTGCCTGATTTTTGACAGAGAGAAGCTGAGCTGCAGCTGCCTGACAGCAAAGGAGCTCTGCTGGACTCTGCCTGTTCCAAACACTCGGGAGGGAAAACAATTGTTTCAGTGGGCAGGAAGAAAACAGTGAAAAGGAAAGGCTGGGAAAGAATAAAGGAGAATAATAGCTCCCAAGTTTTTCTCTGACTCACATAAAACATTTTGTTTCACAATTATCACCACCTGGACTTCCTGCAACCTTTTTCTTCTCTTTAAAAGCAAACAATACCGAGTTTTAAAAATAAACTTCATTTTTAATGAAGATCAAAAGTCTCACTGTCAGCGAGTTCAGAAGTCTGAACAGTTTTAAACGCTCTTTTTATTTTCCCCAGTCAAAATTACATGGAATGAACCCAAACCCACGAGCACTGTTCTCAGCTTTCCCACAACGTCCTGCTTGGCAGGGACCAGAGCTGGTTAAAAGCCCAGCCCCCAGCCAGCCCTGAGCATCCCCACTGTCCCTGCCCGTGGCAGGGTGGCACTGGATGGGCTGCAAGGTCCTCCCAAGCCAACCACTCCATCAGCATCACACCAGTTGTGATAAACCCCCGTGTGCAGGGAGCCAGCACAGTGACATCTCTCTAGATAAGACTCCATCCACACTAAAGAACCTCTGAGCCCAGGGGGCAAAAAGAACAGCCCCCTCCGCCAGGCGACATGCTGTTGTTGAAAAACTATAATTAAAAAAGTAATTAAGTTATTTAATATTGAATAAATGTGACCAAGGTGATGGAAAAGGGGCTGGAATGGTGGGAAGGCTGCTGGCTCTGCAGCCACCCTGGAGCAATCACATCCACTGTGTGGGGCCTGGGTGGGGAAGGATAATGGTCACAGCTGAAGCCAGCATCCCTGGAGAGCCTCAGCTGTGGCCAGGCTTCCACAGGCACAGAAAGCCAACACAGCACCTGCTGCCAAAGCTGGAGCTTCCAGGGGCTGATGGAGGGACAGGAGAGCCAGGCTGGGGAGAGGAAACAGTCTGCAGTGTGAGAGGGCAGGTCTCAGGTCCTGGCTGTGACTTCTCCACCGCCTTTGGGAGGTCAGCTCCTGCTTTCCCAGAGGGGAAGGTGAAAACCAGAGCTCTGGTTTAAGCTGCCCACCTGGGAAAGGGTGGGCTCAGCCCCTTGGGATGGGGAGCTGCTCTCATTCCAGGCAGTGGGAGAGCTTTCCCAAAAGGAGAAGTGCCATGGTACCCTGCTCGCCTCGGCACCACCTCTGCTCAGAGGAATGGTGGATAAATGGCAAGGAGGAATTATGGAAAAATGGCAAAAATCACCTCTTGGCAAGCAGAGTGCCTGGGGAATTGGATGTCTGCTGTCCAAAAGGCACAGTGGAGTAAATTCAGCTTTCATAGCCTCATCCCACCTTCCACCACAACAGGAAGCATGTGCACAGTTATTGAAACTGTCAGGTTCATTCACAGCACTTCTGAGGGAAAAACCTCTGAGGGAATTAGGTGGTAAAAACACGCAAGTTGCAAATTTGGGATCCTGTCACAGGATTCCTGCAGTCATTCATTACCCCTGGTGGCCTGGAGAAGTGACAAATGCTCCAAGCAGCACAAAGTGCTGTGCCAAAGGATGAGAACCTGGGAGCCAGAGACACCCTGGGACTGAGCTGGGGCTGCCCTGAAATGCCCAGAGCAGCTGGGGCTGCCCCTGGATCGCTGGCAGTGCCCAAGGCCAGGCTGGACACTGGGGCTGGACACTGGGACAGTGGGAGGTGTTCCTGGGACAGTGGGAAGTGTTCCTGGGACAGTGGGAAGTGTCCCACCATGGCAGGAATATGGGACAAGAAGATCCTTGAGGTGCCTCCCAACCCAAACCACTACAGGATTTTAAGGTCCCGTGAATTTGTGGATCCCACACCGTGAGTGAACACGCTCAGCTTGCAGGGATAAAGGGTCCATACACAGAGCTCACCCACCCACCCAGGCTGCAGGGAGACCCACAGCACGAGCCCTCTGGAGGAGGAGAACCAGATGATTTTTTCCATGGGAATAGCAGTCCTGTGCCCGAGCCTGGCACGGAGGTCAGGCCCCAGTGCGGGGTGCTCCAGCTCCCCAGGGGCAGCCAGGGACCAAAGCAGCAGGGGCTGGGACACAACAGAGCCTGAACAGTGCCCTGGCTGCTCCTGCCACCCCTGACCAACACCCTGACCGCTCCTGCCACCCCTGACCAACACCCTGACCAACACCCTGACCGCTCCTGCCACCCCTGACCAACACCCTGACCAACACCCTGACCGCTCCTGCCACCCTGACCAACACCCTGACCAACACCCTGGCTGCTCCTGCCACCCCTGACCAACACCCTGACCAACACCCTGACCAACACCCTGACCGCTCCTGCCACCCCTGAGCCCCGGAGCATTCCCACAGCCGGAGCAGGCACTGAGCCAGCGCTGGTGTTTGGGGATGCTCGGCCCTGGGGATGGAAGTGCTGCTGCAGTAGCCATGGATACCCATGATTATGTGCTGTCTGGATTCTGCTACAACACTAAGAACGTTATTCTGCTTCCCTGAAATTCTCCAGGAGCTATTTTTCTTATCACCACTTAATTGGATTATCAGGTAGCAAAAAGAGACAATTTAACACTTTTTCAGCTGATTTATCTGCAGAGATCCTCTTTTGGGGGGAATCACTTTTGGCAACACTCAAAACATCACGTCACGAAGTTATGTTGGCGCTGGTGATTATTAAAAGGAACTCTCAATTAATTTGATGAATACATTCCTTTAAGATTAGCAGCTGCCAAGAGCTGCCTCCTGGATGTTTATCAGAGCTCTGGGAACAACAGGCAAAGCCCCCAGCACAGCTCTGCTGCTCCTGCACTGGCAGTGACTCCAGGAGCTCCCTGGCTGCACACCAGCACAGAAAACACCCCAAAACAAACATTTTAGGGATGGTTTTGTTGTGAGGGGCAAGAAAAGCTCAGGTTAAGTACAGGTGGTACCTAGACTGTGTAAAGTAAGCAATAACAATAAAAAGTCCTCGAGTGCAGGAGAGCTGTGAGCCCTCAGAGGCAGGGAGCTGCCTGCCCCACAGTGCTCCCACAAACACAACACCATCAAACTCAGGGAAACAAATCAATCAAACACTTCAGCTGAAGTCTGGGGGAGCCAGAGGAGGGGATTTAACTGGGAAAGGAGCAGAGTAAATCTCAAAGGCACACAGAGCAGGTTTTTCCCATTTCATTGTACATTTTCTATATCACTGCTGGGATCTGGCATTTCCTGCCATTCCCTGCATATACAATTTATGAGCTGCAATGAATTTGACTTGTAAACCTCCTGGATTCTGCAGACAAGAGACCAGTGGAAGTAACAGGGAAAACTGAGTTTAAAGAAGTCAGGATTCTCCCCATGTGAAATCCTGGATAGCACAACTGAGGAGAGCTCCCTGATAAAGCAGCAGCACATCTTGAAGAACCAGAATGATAAAAGATCACTTTATAGTCCTGAAATACAGCTGGGGCTGCCAGCTTGCACCAAACTTCTCAGCAGGGACAGAGTTGTTTGAACAACTGACACAAACCCACCAAATGCTCCAAGCCAGAGGCTGGAGATCCATCTGAGACTCGCCCGTGGCTCTGCTGCAGCAGCCACAGCCCAGGGAGGGCTTTAGGGCCAGGCTTTGGTTTATGTTTAACTAAAAACCAGAATAAACCCACGTTCCAGGACCTGCCATCAGCCTCACACAAAGAACAATCAGATCTTCAGGAAGTTATTCGAGTTTAGGAGAATTTCCAGTCCCATTCCCAAACCTGCAAATTCACAATAAAACAAGTGAACAGTCCTGAGCTGGCTGTTGAATATTCCCCTGTCCCATTGTGGGACAAGGTGCCACCAGCGTGGGAGTTCACCAGGGGCTGCTCTGAGCCCATCAGAACACTCCCAACACACAATCCCAGGGATTTATCCAGGAGGGATGATCCCAGATGGGCTGAACCAGCATCATCTGCTGGGATGCAGAGCCTGGGAGATGCCCAGGGGTTCTGCCCCAGCACCAGCTCTGCCCCTGCACTCCAGAGGAATTTCAGTCTGTGGAAATGAGCTGGGGGATAGAAAAGCTCCTGCCATTCCACACAGCCAGAACTGGAAATAAATGGATTTATTCTGCCTCCCAAGGAAAGCAGAGGGAGCTGGGTGGGTTTCATTCTGCTGCACTCCACCCACACAGCTCTGGGCAATGGAACATCCTGGGCATGGAGCACCACACTGCAAGGGAGAAAAATAAATGGAGAGGCCAAACCAGCACAGAACATGCAGGATCCTCAAGAAAAAGGAACTTCAAGTTAACAAAGGGTTT